GGGAAATGTTAAAGAATCACCCACAGCCATAGATTCTGTAGACTTTGATGGGTTTTTGCTGGTCTGTGGTGAAATTAGAAATGTAAGGAAAATAGAATGAGTTTTTTGTGCAGATAAACACATGCACCTTCATTATGGCATTCCTCCTAATGTTGTCTTAAGCTGTTTTTTAAATAAAATAATTACAATATAGTACAAGGTAATTTAAATTAAAAATGATGTCCTCACTTGGCAAAAGAAAAGTTGGTGCCCTATTTGGTGACTAGTTTTATGGGTGTGCATTTCCAATGTGCTGTTCTATGATGTCCCAAGTTCTAGGAAACGGTTAAGGACAGTTAATATTGAAAATGGGAGATCTTTGATGGAGTTCTTTTGCTAGGAAGTCTGTCTGGTGCACTTTGAAGAGTAAAGATTATCTTGTGTAGGGGCCTTGGTCTCATAGTTGTGGTCTTCAAGCTTCAGTTTCCTGATCCCAGCTTCCTGACTTTTAAAACAACAGTGATGATCCTTTCCCCGGCAAGATCTATGTTATTGTCCTACGCCAGCGGTGGCGAGCCTATGGCATGTGTGCCACAGCCAGCTGTTTGTTACCATTAGAAGCTCTGAAAGGTTCACAGTCATTGCCCTATTTCTTCTACATTCCTAGTTTCCCTTTCCCTGTGTCTTCCCATGTTCCTGGATACCATTCTGCTTAGCATCCCTCTTGGCTGTGTAGCCCAGTATTTCCTTGATAACTGGTGTGGTCCATTATGAATTCACCAGTAGCACTGACTATTTATTGGTATTTTGCTGACAGACTGAATAGTGTGTTAGCAATAGTAAAATGAGTAAAACAGCTGCCTGTTCCTTAGGTACACTGTAACTACGTGAGATTATCAGGATACGCACACAGTCGTATATCCTTATAAAGATTGAGTCCTTGTGTCTTTAGTGAAGCATAGAGTATAACTGGTATTGTACTCCTTTGCTTGATGATCTCTCAGTTCCTCAGAGAGGAACTGGGCAGATCCAGTTGGTTTCTCCTAGATTTAGCTCTTGCTGAAGGCTTGTCATCACATCCGAAGCTTTGAGAAAGATCTTATACTCCATCAATTGATTAAAAATAAATAAGAATGAAGTTATTTGAGTGAAATGGAATATGTGGATTCAGAGTATGAATGCTGGAGTCTAAGTAATTTTTCATATTCAAACTTATGCTTGACCCGAAGCAGAGAGAAACAGAAGCTTGAGTCACATTAGGCTTTTTTATTTTTTTCTAAAAAACAAACAAAAACAAAAACAAAGAAAACACAACTTAGTCGTATGAGTGATTTTTTAAAAGAATAATTCTGGTTTATAAATTATTCCGGAATTTGTGATAGCTGATGGTGCTCATTGTTAAGAAAAGACTAAATATACGAAGACTTAGTTTCATTTGCTTCAGGTGGTCAGGTAGTACACTGATCTGTTGTTAGGTGTTTAAAACCCCTTGGAATATTATAATCTGTGAAAATTCGTCATTTAGTCTGTGTAATTTAGAATATTCTACTACAGATACTTTTTAAGACTTGAAGGTTATTCTGTTGAACTAAATGTTTGATCTCTCTCCACTGTGGAGCTTTTAGTTCTTCCTTGGCAGGTGTCCATGTGACAGAGATGAGCAGGGTGGCGTGCTGGCGTTATCCCTCCTTCCCACCGTCTAGGTCTGTGCAGGTTCTGCGTCTTCCTTGCAGTTCGGCAGCCATCTCATTTTGGCTTTGGCTTTAGCAGTCAACCTTCAGAGATCTTTTGTTTTCTGACGGTTAAAGAAACTGGCTCAGTGTTCTTACTCTTACGCACTTATTTAATTGTTTACAGATAATTGAAACTATCAAATATATCTATTGTAAATTACGTTTTTTCAAGCTTGACATATTGAAATGATTGGTTGACACAGTTCCTGGTTGGGAAAAAATTGTTTCTAAGCATCAAAAACCTAATTCTTTTCTGATTTGGCACTACATGTTTTTCCTTCATGTAGTTACAAAATTTCTTTCCTTTTTAAACATAAGGCCTGAAAAAGCTAATGATTGAGTTGGTACTAATGTGGCATGCTTAAAGAATTGTGCACTGTAGAAATATTCACTTTAATATAAAGTATTAAATACTAAAAAGTTAGTATGAAACGTTATTTTGATAGCTGTGGATAAGAGAGAACCCATTAAAGAGTTCAGACTCCAAATATATCACATCAACAACTTTAATTAAACCCAGGGGAATCATTTGCTGAAGAATATTTTGAATTCTTAATGTGATATTTATACTTCCTGGTTTACTTTATTATAAATGTTTTAGAATATCAGCTTGTTTTATTTAAACTTTTTATGCATTTTCATGAGTGATTTTTCTTTGGGGAATAAGTTTCCACCTTTATTAAACAAGACGGTAGGGAAATATGGTTGGTTTCTACAGCTGGGTTCAAGCTATCAGCAACACATCTGTCCTGCCAAGTGGGAGTACACTTGAAACAGCACAGCGTGTAATTATTTCCTTACAAAATTACTTAAAAACAGTCTTATTAAACAGCTAGTGTTTACTGATCACGTAATAAATGCAGACACAATACTAAGTGGTTTACATGTATAAATTCTTTTACAAGTGACTAAAATATGTGTTTCTCTACCTTCTTCTGTTTTCTTTCTCCCATCCCTTTCTCCAACTGGCGCCCCATCAGACCATTGCTTTGGAGAAACAGCCCAAGTCAGAAATAGTAGTAGCTTCCATTAGAATTGTCCACTTAATTTATGTTGCTGTCCATTGTTAATAGGACAGAGAAGACCTGCGTGGGCCTCAGGAGGTAGAGAAGGCAGGTTGCCTGGTGGGTGCTGGTTCCAGCTGAGTGAATGCCAAAGCTAAGGGGACACCAGGGGCACGGCACAGCTTACTGCCGGGAGTGGATGGAGCATGGAGATACCTGAGAAAAAGGGAAGAAAGAACGTTGGGCTTCCAGTGCCCCAACACGCAGCTCAGAGAACCTGAGCTGTTAAATTTGAAAGAATGTGACAAATCAGATGAAGCAACACATTTTGTCACAGACCCAGCAGGAGGAGGAAAAACGTAAATTGGATGACAGTGACAAGGATGAAAGTGACAAGTTTGGGCCAGTGAGGAGACAAGAAACTCATCTTTAGATTCCTAAAAACCAAAGGAGAGAAACACGTATTTTAAACAGACAGCTTCGTATCCTGGTGGAGGAGCGGATACTGCCCATGACAGAGTACATACACTATGTCACTTTATTTCTTGTTGGATGATTACCTTTGTTATTATTTGCATTTGTATGTAGCTAGGATTTTTTTTTTTTTTTTTTTGAGGGGGTGCTAGGGATCCAACTCAGGGCCCTGCATGAGCCAAGCACATGCTCTACCACTGTAGCACAGCCCGGGCCCAAGGATGTTGACGTACATTTACTGTGGGGAGGTGGCTTGATATGTACCCCTCTCAGAGTTTGAAATCTCACCGGCCTGAGTTTGAATCTCAGCTGTGACCTGACCTTGAGCAAGCCACTTGTCTGATGTTTTGAAGTAGACTGTTGTCTGTCAAATGGAGATTTGTAACTCTGAAAGGCTGAGTGAGATGATGATGATGATGTATGGAGACCATCACTGTGCCTGGTACTCGGTCAGGCTGAACAGAAGGGAGTTACCCTCCACAAGAGAGGATAATAGGAGCGATTCCTCCTTCCCCTTCTGACAGAAAGGATGGACTTTACCCAGAGATGACATGCCTGTGGAGAGCAGAGCCTCTGTTCACAAGATAGAGGCTACACCTCACTGTTAGAAAATATGCTTTGCTTGTTAGGGAGGGAGTGTCAGCATTTAAGATCAGGTGGTTGGTTAAACAATGAAATGCATTTAAATCTGTCCATTGTTATACAGAAAGACTCCATGCAGAAATTTTCAGAAATTAAGCGTGGCCAGTTTTACTGCAGAGTACAGTGAAGTCTACACATTCTATCATCATATAGCAATAAAATTACACCTTGGTCAGGTTCAGTTCTTAAATGTTCAGTTATGTCATTGCTCTTCTTTGTTTTGCTTAGGGTTGGTGAGCCTCATCTTCTTTGCATGGGACTTTGTGTTTTTGTTGCTCTTACTGGAGATTAAACCCAGGCCCTTCACACTGAGCTACACCCACACCTCCACACCCTCGTTTTTTAGTTTTTCATTTTGAGATAGGGCCTTGCTAAATCACTAGGCTGTTCTCCAACTTTTAATCCTGCTATCTCAGCCTCCTGGTATGCTGGAATTACTGTTGCGTGCCACTATACAGAGCTAAGACTTTTTAAAATGTGGTGATTGTTTATCTTATAAAAGAAATTTACATTATATTTTTAAATTCCAAGATTAAAATCAGCATTTATATATCAAAAAAACAATTTTTTATCATGTCTAAACACTATCAGAAGTCTTTTTAATTTTTTTAAAAGTTAATATTGTCATTTACTTTTTTAGGTTGACTAATGTAATCCCAAAGAATATTCAGTAGACATATTTTAATTTCTTTTTGTGATTTCAAGGAGTGAAAAATAACATCTGAAAAATTTTAAGGGAGTATTTTTTATGCTGTGCATTTATTCTTATATCATTAGTTGAAAGTTAAATGAGTATGCTTTCTCATTTGTAATAAAAAGGTATGTATAAGCAGTACTGAAGTTTTCTAGGTATTTGAAGAAATGTCAGTAGCTTACAAAAAGTGTCTTGAATTGCTTTTGATTAGTTATCATAAGCATTTATAACTTTGTTCCTCATGAATATGTGTATTTTAAGATAATACTGTGATTTGTAGAAACATTCTTGAGTAATTGAAACTCAAAAGAATTGCAAATTGCTTTGCCTGGTGGACATAAAATAAACATGAGACATGCAGATAATTAGTTTTGTAACTCTTGTATACATTAAGCACATTTTTGGTGCCCCCTGTGTTGTGTATAATTTATCTTTAAAAAAATTGAGCCTTATTTATTGCCATCCTTTGAACAGGTGTCTCAATGCTTGTACCTACTGCAAAACTAAACATGCCAGAGGAAATTTGGCCAGTTATCCTATTGATGAACTAGTGGATAGAGCTAAACAATCTTTTCAAGGTAAGAGTATCTATAATCGTCTAAAGTTAGTCTTCTTCGTAAATCCTTCAAGTCTTCTAAGTAACAGTTTAGATACCAGCTTCCTTAGTTCTTTTAAAGTTTGCAAATATTTTAGATTAACAAGAGATGTTGCTGAATGTAATTGTTCGATTTATAGTTGCATTAGTTAATCTTCTTTTAATGCTTTTCTATTTTATTATCACTCTAAGAAGATGACACATTTTGTACTTCATCATCTATTTCTGGACTTCATGGAAAAAACAAATGAAAAAGTCTATGAGCCTCTGGAATCTGTAAAGTTTTTGTAAACTCAGTATAATACTCCTTTTGAGCAGCATTTTTTGAGCATTTAGAAAACAGACAAAACAAAACAAAATAAAAGAACAAAAGCATGCAGGTTAAGAGTTTCCTAGAGTTTTTGAATGAAAAGGGAGGCTTCCTGTCAGCCAGCATAGGAGCTGTTCCTCCTTCTTTGCGGCTCTGCTGGACTGAGAGAAGGTGACACTGAGGAAGAATCCTAATGACAAGAACGCCGAGCGTGGGTGGCCAGCTACTTGTTGGAAAATGATTGTCTGAGTATTTCTCAGCTTGTACCGAGTTATCTTTAACCTGAGTCACAGTTGTGTTGACACATAACTGCTTCAAGCAGGAACTTCCTCTTTTGTCTTTGTTTATAATATGTGTATATAACAGTGGTGTGTTTTTATGCCCAACATCAGATAATCTATTATGTCTTAATCTTGTGGATTTATAGGTATTGGCAGTGTACTTTTCCTTTTAGCAAGTAACTCAGAGTACTATTTTCAATACCTCACATCTAGATGCTCAGGAGATACGACTCACAGACACATATTTCTTTTGTGTAGCCTGTCTAAACTTTTTATCAACATGAATTTGGAACAGTACTTTTAATACAGAGAAACATACCTTCAGTTGATATTTTTTGTCACTTTCAAATAACTTTTTCTCTTACTTTTATAGACCTAGTCCCTTCCTCAGTTCATATTTAGCTAGTATTGGAAAAGAAACAAAGGAAATTCATTGGTTCTTGATAATGTTCTGTTTTTAGATCCAAGTTATTATCTAGTCTGGGGCAAAGTCTTTTCTGCAGCGTGATTACTTTCAGGATTTTTTTTTTAGAAGGGGCACATATTGGCAGAGAAACCTAATCTATACATCTATCTTTGTTGTCTGGCATTCTAGTCTTGTCTTCTCTTGTCACCTCTTCTTCTCTTCTCTTCTCTTCTCTTCTCTTCTCTTCTCTTCTCTTCTCTTCTCTTCTCTTTTCTTTTCTTTTCTTTTCTTTTCCTTTCTTTTCTTTCTTTTCTAGTTTTGGGATTGAAACAAGAACCACACACATACTAGGCAGGCACTGTTTAGTGAAACATCCCCAGCCCCTGTAAAATTTTATTTTGAGACACTGTCAAAATTTAAAAGTTGCTGGGGTTACAGGCATGCAGCACCACACCTGGCTTTTGCAGGCATTTTTCTTTCCCCTCTGTATGTCTGTTAGATGATGGCAGTATAAACTCCGATGACCTTTCTACCAAATGCTATCAGCTAGGAGGCATATGAATTAGTACTTTTCAGTGTTCACATTTCTAAACACAGCTACATGTAATTGAAACATTTTTCTACTTCATTGTACTTGAAAGTTTGTTGAAAAATATAAACTATAAAATCACCATGTTAGAAGCGAAAGCATTTTCTTCATTACCTCTTATCTGTCTTCATCTGTGACTTACACTGACAATTGTGTGATTGCTTCATGACTTTACACAGTTAATATGTATAATATATGACTCGAGAAAAAAAAGGACAGAAAGTTTTTATATACCCAGTAGACTGTTTTTCTAACAATCCAATTAAGCTCTGACTTATCTTTAGAAACACAATCTGGGCAATAGAGGTAGACTGTTTCTGTCATGGGATTTTAGTGACTAGTTAATATTTTCCTGTCTAAGGCAGTTGGGTAAGTTAAGGTGAGTGATTTGAGGACCAAAGCAAAAGTGAGCATTAATTTAGTGGCTATTTAAAGAGAGAGAAAGTGTGAGAAGATTATTGTTACTAACATCTTTGATATGTACGTTTTTGTTGTTGTTACTGATTGTGGATTATTTGTAATATAAAGTTTGGTTGTTGCTGTCTTGTTTCTTGTTATCTGTGTCCTAGAGTTGAAACCAAATGCCAGTTTTTAGACTTACGAGCTCATTTGATTAATATGTGGTTCTTAGGTCACAACTTGCTGAGTGAGCCAATGTGTGCAAGTAAATCTTGTAAGTAATTAGGTATTTGGTGCTTAACATCATTGGCTGAGTTTGGATGTGAAACACAGGTCACTTACCAGTGATATGATCTGAACAAGTTCTCATCACTATAATATTTAGTGGGGTTTTCTTGGTAAGAATTTTAGGTACAATGTGAAGCAGTTGCTGTGTCAATGACACAAAGAAGACATGTTGCTTACACTGAAGGAACTAAAAGTGAATCTAGAAGGATAAATCTAACTTGAGGTGAGAATATTGAGACATCCATAACAGAGGCATTAATGGCTACCATCAAGTGACAGATTTTACCAAAACTTTCTCTGTAGATAAACTATTTAGTATGACAGTTTTTATTTTCTAAATTTGAGAAGTTAAGTTCATAATGAGGGCCTTATAATTTCCATCATAGGAAATAGCAATCTATAAACTTACATTTTAAAGACATCAATTGAGTAGAATTGTCTTTTCTTCTGCATGACATTGGGATTTTGATGTTCTTATGGAATTCTTAAGTTTGAACTTAAAAATGTGGAATAAATGTAAAGGTAAATGTCATAGAAGATATTACCCACTTTTTTTTCTGTGACTTTTGCATATTTAGTTCTTTAACAATTCAGTGGTTAAGAGAATTTGAACTAAAATCCCTTAAAATCTGCATTCTACCGTGATGAGATTGCTGTCCTTCAATGAGTAACATGACTGTATTTAGTTTCTATACGATGAAAAGTCTCAATACGCTGCCAACAAATTTTAGTGCTGTGTTTAAGCTTACCATCAGTGGAAGCTGAATTTCCCATCTTTAAAATAACATTTTCAGCCAAGTGTGCTGACATACCCTTTTAAATCGTCTCTATTTGAGAGGCTGAGGCAGGAGGATAGCAAGTTTGAGATTACTGGGGCAGCTTGCTGAGTCCTTATTGCAAAATAAAAATTTTAAAAGGGCAACAAATATAGCTCCATGGTAAGGAACATGAATGAATTTGTATGACCCTGGATTGAACCCTTAGCACTGAGGGGAAAAAAGCATTTGTTTTCTTTTACTTAATTTGTTTTATGGCTACTGTGTGTCAGATAGACAAATTGAAGCTGGATTTAATGACACACACTTGTAATCTCAGTGCTGAAATGGCTGAGACCGGAGGATTACAAGTTCAAGCCCAGCCTGGACATATAGCCAGACCCTGTCTAAGACAGGGAAAAAACACATAGATTAAAACCCACATATCCTGTCATATAATAGAATGTACAGTAAGAACATGATTTCTTCTAAAATACATATGAAACATTTTATATTCATAAAAATTATTTCTTATGAAGAAACAAATGAAGAGACAGCAGACTAAACCAAAGACAGCAGGCATTCAGAAGAATGCAAAAGAACCAAGAAATCATTCTGAATATAAAATGACTTCTGAAAGTACTAGAAATACGCTACAAAAAAAAGAGAGCTCATTAACTTTGAATGGATAGCAACAAGTAAAAAATACTCATACTTTTAAACAAATATTTGTTTCTATTGTATATAATAAATATGTTTGATTGGTTTCCTAGCTTTTTCTTTTACTCTAATTCAACCTAGTCCCCTTCATTTGTTTATGGACTATTTTACCTTCTCAGTATGATACTCATTTTTTCAACAGCTCTTCATATTTAAGGTTTACCAAGTAAATTTTGGATTGTCATCTGATTCTCACAGACAGTTGGGCGACCCTCTTCTTTACTTCTGCCTGCTGATTCAGGTTTTTAAAAATTCTTAGGATTAACAATGTTCTCAGGGCTGAGGTTGCTGTGTTTGACATAGTTGCATTTTAGATATCTAGAAAAACATGTCAAACAGTGACCAGGACTTTGTTGGGGCCAGAATGAATTTACAAGCTTGTGTTTTCTAGGATATTCGTATTGATTTTTCTCTAGCAGCTAATCAATCAGTTTCAGTTGTGTAAGTGATGGAGCGAACCTGTTTAAGTGTGCTGGGTGAATGGTGTGGAAACAGCACCTTTCACTGCTGTCTCTGGAATCAAAATGTAGAGATGATGGATGAGCTGTTTTTATAGCTATCGTGTGCTTTTCTAGATCTCATTTGTGTGTTGCTCCTTTTTTTCTCTCATAAATCTGAAAACGCCCTGAAAGATAACTTGCATGAATCAGTTAGGAAAGGTGGAAGAAAGTAGGATGAAATACTCAGAACAGGAAGAGAGCTTCTTGATGTCCAATGATTTTAATTTTACTGTTGGGATTTTTAAAAATATGAATTCTGCTGTACGTCAAGACTTGCAAAGAATACTGTCTGCTGATTATATGATTAATTATAAAATGTAAAGGGAAGACGTTGCTTCCTACCCTTTTAGGTGGGGAACGGTGTGAGCAATATTCGATTTTGTTAGACAAGTTTCAGATCGCTCCATTGTGCAGTTTATATCAGTCCCCCTTTAGTCAGGTTTAGTATGTAATGATTTTGATCCTGGATCAAAAAGAGGCCAATAGTTGTATTCTTTTTACTAACATGGCAGTTACATTAAATGTCTCTAATTCCTTTATCCTTTCATTTGTGCTGTGTTCAAAGAAAATTGAGAAATACATTCTTTTCTTGGATTAATAATATTAATGTACATGTTTGTTATACATTGTCAACTTCCAAAAGAGATTTTAACAGCTTATATTAAATAATTGTATGTAACTCTGAAAATAAAAGCTATATAAGATGCTGTATTGCGTCTTTTTTTTTTTTTTTTT